TAGATCAAAACTAATAAACGGCTGAGATTGGTTCTTATATAAGATTGGGTTCTTATATAGAGGAGGGTTCTTACATGAGCCTTCCTCTATATATATATATATATATATATATATATATATATATATATATATATATATATATATATATATATAACTAATCACCTCTTTTCTTATATTTTCCTCACAAAACCTACTAGCTTTCTCCTCCTTTAACTTGTTGAAATCTAGAAATTTTGGATTGTGAGATGTGTTTTTGTGAAGAGAAGTGAGAAAAGTGATGAGTAGTTATATATACTATATGGTTGAAACCTGTTTTAAGAGTTAAATATTAAAAATGAGCCCCCTTTGTAGAAACTTGTTTTTGGAATTCACAAATGAGTAGTGCTACTCAAAGTTATAAAATTTAATGGGTAGTTTTTTGATAAAATTTTTAATCGGTTACATGTTGACAGAATGACATATTCAATGGGTAGTTTCTGACAATATTTCTATAATTTTATTTCATTTTTTATGAAGAAAATGTTACTGTAGTTATTTTCGTTTGATTCCAAATAGGATACGATTTTTCTGCCTATAATTTTAAAATTTAATATTCTAAAATCAACTTTTTAAATCTCTCATTGTCAATTGATCTACAATTTTGACATGATTAAAGGGATCATTAAACACTTTTTAGGCGCAACTTTGTATGTGTAGTAGCTAAGCCTTTTGTTTTACCAAATCAATTCACTAGTAAATAGTAAGAGTTAAAATAAAATGTTAAGTTCGTAATTAAAAGAAAATAATTTCATTATATTTTGGAAAAATTAAAAACAATAATCCCACCTTTGCTCAACCTGTTCAAAATAAACTCACCTTTAGATATTTTGGGAACAAGCTCACCTTTTATCCCTATTTTCTTAAAATAAGCCTTTGACCGGTTTTTTTTAATTTGGTAACCAGTTTTAAAAGGTGGCATGCCACATGTGACCTTCTAATTGGCCCTATTTTTTTAAATAATTAAAATAAAGATTAAAAAATAAAAAATGCAAAAGCCCTCGCTCTTCCCGCATGAACAACCACTCCCCTCCCCACCCCAACGCCGGCCCGCCGGCCAGCAACACTAGTGGTGATTTTCCAGCGAGGTGGACCATCGGAAAACCACCGATATCCTTTGAAGCGCCGCCACGACATTCTTCTTCAATCAAATTCCTTCTCTCTCGCATCGAACTCGACGCCAACAACACCCACTTCTGATTCTCTCTCCTGACTCCCCTCTTCGCCACCGTCGTCATCACCCTTTTCTCCACCTTACTCGCGTCGGAACTCTAGACGAAGGCATCTTTTCCGGTGATGATGGTCATGATCATCGATCACTTTTCTTTGATTCACAAATTTTGAATGTTAATACGCTTTTACTTTTCTAGCCAGTGAGAGGCGGGGTTTTAGGGGTGGCTGGGTGGGATTTTCGAAGTGTGGTTTTAGGGGTGGCTAGGTGGAGTTTCAAAGTGGGGTGGAGTTTCTAGCGTTAATGGGGTGGGTTTCCGGTGTGTTTAAGGGTGGCTGGGAGGGGCTGGTATTGGCAGGTGGTTGAGGTGTGGTGAATTGGGTGGAAGGAGAGAGATTAATGAAATTTTTCTTTTTTTTAAATAATTTAACCTTTTAAACAGGTTGTAGGTTAAAAAGCTTGTTTTGAGAAAATAGGGGTGAAAGTTGGGTTCGTTCCCAGAAAATCTAAATGTGGGTTCGTTTTGAGCAGGTTTGAGCAAATTAAAGGTGAGATTATTGTTTTCAATTTTTCCTTTCATTTTTTAATGAGTCATAGCTTTTTTTTATTGGCTTATAACTTAAAGTTAATAATTTGGAATCAAATTTGTGCCATCAATTGATCCACTTCCTCCGTTAATGGTTATTTGGAACATATACTAAAAATGGGTGCTAACTATTATTTGCAATAAAGGGTTTTCTGTCCTTTTTTAGTAATTTTTTTTATGACAAAATTACCGTCTGGCCCTTGTTAAAAACTGATTATATACTAACCTACTTTGTTACTCTAATGAAATATCCTATTATCCACAAATCTAACCTAATGATTCCCACCAAAATTACCCTCACCTAGATCCCCTTTTCCAACCATTCATCAGATCCCTCTTCATCTTCTCACCAGCCCTCTTTAATTCATCCCTCAACTACCTCCATTAATGAGGTTGTTCAATCCGTTACCTCTGGAGATCGTTCCAGATTTCAACACTCTATCTCTTCTCTTCTTTCGATATGGTTTACCTCATTCAATTCATCCCTCAACTACCTCCATCAATGAGGTTGTTCAGTCATTTACCTCTGGAAATCGTTCCAGATTTCAACACTATCTCTCTTATCTTTTTTCGATCTGGTTTAACTCACATTCTCTCTCTTTTCCTCTTTCGATTTGGTTTACCTCACACTCTCTCATCGTTGAAACCCTAATTTCTCTAGATCTTACACCTTATCCGGCTGCGCACCTACTTTCTTCTTTGAAAAACCCAAAGAAATGAGTTCCCTAAACGAGAAGAAACCAGATGAGGACGTAATTGCGACCTATAGATGCCAGCATTGTACTGGGAAGATGAGGTTGATTGGAACCCGTAGGGCAACTTACATGGATATGCGCCGTATGTATGATGTGGGTGCGAAGCTTGCTCCTTACGACTCTGATGAGGAAGGTGAAGGGGTCTAAGGTTGCAGATCTGGGCAACAACGGTGAGGGTTCGAAGAAGAAGGGTCCTGCTGTTGATGTTGTGAAGAGTGAGGATGCTGAACCCCCTTCTGTAACCCCTACGCTGGAAAAGACTGTAGAGGAGGCGGTAGATCTAGGTCTACTGGAGTTGTCTCCGGCAAGAAAAGGGGTAGATCTAGGTCCCCTGTTGACGAGGTTGTTGATGGTGGTGGGGATGACAACCCTTCCAACTGTGGCTCTAACTAATTCTGCAGCGTAACTCTTTTCTGACCCTTAAATTTTTGGATTAATTGCGTTTAATTACTCTGAGTTCCTTATTTGCTTGCTGGTTGTGATAATTAGGCTCTGTTTGCTATGTTGTGTCTTATTGGTAGTAATTGTTGCATGATGTTGGTAATTTGTGGCTTATGATTTCTAAATTGTGGGTTGTTGTTGATAAATGTGGGCATTGATAAATGTGGGCATTGTTGTTAAATTCTTCCATTTTCGGGTAATTTGTGGCTATATTAGCCTCTGTTGTTATGATAAATGTGGGTAATTTGTGGCTACTGTTGAGAATTTGTTGGCTATTTGTGATAATTTCTGTCAAATCTTGATAAATTCTGATTGTTGGCCATTTGTTTGGTTGTGTTTGGGAATTAGGTTGCTATATTAGCCTCTGTTTGCTATGTTGTGCCTTGTTATTAGTAGTTGTTGCATGATATTGGTAATTTGTGGCTTTTGATTGTTGGCCATTTGCTTGCTTGTGTTAAGAAATTAGGTTGCTTGAGGTTGTTCATATGTGGGTTCTACTTCTTTTGTGGGTTGTGCTTGTTCCTTTGTAGCTTGAGGTTGTTCATAATTGGCACTAATGGCTTTGGGGTTTGTGATATGATGAATGATGATGAACTTGTAGCCTATTGTGAATGGTGTTAGATGTTCTCAGTGAAAACTAATTCAGAGAACATATGTGCATGCATTTCAGTCCCATATTGTTGGAGTCCCTTCTATTTTGTTCAGTCCCCTACTGTTGGAGTCCCTTCTAATTAAGAGAACATTGTTGCCTACATGTGTGTTCCTACCTGGTCTAAGAGTTCCTTAATGTAGTGTCTGTGTGTGGGAAAAATCCAAGTGATGAAGAGACTCATTTGACAAACAAATTTCATAAGTTGGAATTGCTCCAACAACTTCAACTGTAAGTTGTTGTTGAGGGAACCACTTATGCAATTTATGTGGTAAAGCAACACCCTCTGATGGATTTAAACTAGTGTGTGTCTGTGTATCACAGTAAAAAACATAGTGTAATCACTTCTTGTACATAAAGCAACCACAATTGATATCATTAAGTTTTTCAAAAGGTTGTACATGTTCAAAAGAAGCTAGTTAAGACTGCCTTACAATATTAACCCTGAATGTAAACAAAATACACTTAACCAATGAAACTCAAATAGTTGTCAAACTAAAAACACAAAAGACTACCTACTAGGTTTCCATTTGCTTCCTTGCTCTTCATTGGTTATGTGTGGCAGTCTCACTGTCACCTTACTCTTGTGTCTGAGATGTATTTAGTCTGCATTAACTTGCATGCCTTCATCATCTTCATTGCCTTCCCCTGTTGATATGAATAAAGTGTTGAGATAATCAACAGCTTGTTGAACCACATTCCTATCCACCTCTAGTTGTTCTGGCAGCAAGCCAAGTCTTTCCAGCCTTTTCTCCCCTTTGTGTGGTGGGGTAAAATTATTCCCCCCTAGATGCTTGAGTATTTCTTCCATGCAACATTGTAGTGTTATCCAACAGTGCTTGTTCAACACTAGATTAAACAAGTCATAAGCCCCTTTGACCTTGTCTATGAGTTCCCCAAGTCCTTAGGGAATGACTGGTACTGTATGGACTGTATGACATTGAACAAGCCGAGATCTAGCACATTTAAGTCTGGTGACTGTGTTGGCTGGTAAATGAACTGTATTTTGAACCCATCTGACTGACATGCAGCAATGAATTCCTCATCTTTAGGAATTTGATGAGGTTTGGCATTATCCCACTGAATCCATATGTCCTTAGACAGATGGGGTGGCCGTTTACTTTTTATGGCTGGAATGACATTGTTGAGAAGCATTGCCTTGATTGCCTCCTTGTTTACATTCTGTGTTGTCTTAATTTCCACAGCTCCAGCCTCTCTGTTTTTGCTTTTTTTCTTTGCAATGCTCTCATAAGCAAATGGAAAGATTCCATACTTTCCATCACGTAGCACTAGTCCATGGGTGTCAAAAATTGGCTTTCCAATGACTGCCATGAACATGCCTTTTACCTTAAATCTTTTGGACTATTGGCACCTGTATGGATTTGGTTCATTTGGCAGGAAATAGAACCTCCTTGTTTCTGGGTTCAAGTAGAACCATTTTTCATCTATGTGTATGACTTGCTGCATATCCTCAAACTTAGGGTTAGCATTCACTGCAGCAGGCAGTAGATGACTTAAAACCCATTTTAGTCTTGCTATCGTGTGGTTGGATGTCAGAGTTGGGTGATTTGTGCTTGTATGTGTTCTCAGCCTCCTTTTTTTCTTTAACTTGTGAATGGTGACATGTGAGATTTTGAGAGCAGCTCCATAGCTTCTCTCAATTGTCCTTTTGTACAAAGGGGCTGATTGTAAAAACTCATCTGTGTACTCTGTTGGTTTGGGTCCAGTTTTGCCAAGCTTCTTGCTTCTGACATCTATCACATTCCCCACTGCCATTTGGGATTTTATGTCTTTGAATAACCTCTGAATTGTTGACCTGTGTACATTGAAGTTGACTGCTTGCTGTGTTGAAAACCCTCTTGGCAATTCCCTACCTTCCAGCTTCAACAGAATAGCATCAACAGTTTCTCTTTTTTGGGAAACAGTAAGCTGTTTCTTGCCTTTGAGATGTTGCATTGCTTCTTCATGTAACACATTGTCTTCAATGTTGTGAGTTCCTTCAATGGTGCTTGAATCACTGTCTTCCATATTACCTTCATCATTTAGCATTTGATCAATGCTGAAAAAATCATCATCGAAAATGTCTGCCATGTTTGATAAACTAATGATGATGAGTTCCACAGATTTGAGGACTAGTAATGAAGTGGGGTGGCTGTTTTTTTTGCTGTACTGAAGCTGAACTAGAAAAACCTAAGGAGATGAAGATGCTGCTTCTGACCTAGCACTAATTAGGTTTAGGATGATAGCTTAGTTCTGACTGTTGTGAAGAAACAATGGTGTAATATGGATATGGAACTTTTGGTTTGTATGTGAACTTTGAATGTTGTTTTTTGGCAGGTTGCTTAAATACCCTCCCTTGAATGAAAAATTCAAGTGGGGGGAAAAAATTGGTGTGAACTTTGACTTCTGTTTTCTGGCAGACTGTTTAAATACCCTCCCTTGAATGAAAAATTTAAGTGGAGGGAAAAAATTGGTGTGAAAACTGAAATTTTTAAAGAGAGAGTGAAATGTTAGGAGGGAAATTTTTTTCCCCCAAAATTTCAGATTCTCTCTCCTCTTTAAATGAAACCGGGTTCCCCTTTCCCTCCTTTTTAATCAATTATTCACATGCCCTTGTTTCCAATTACCCTCATTTAAACACCCATTAAAAGTTTTGCATTGGCCTCCACGAAAGGTACAATTGTTGCAAATAACCATTAACGGAGGAAGTATAACTATGACACGATTTAAAAGAACCCTTGGTGTATTATTAGTAACCCTTTAAATTGATGGATTAGTAACCCTTTATTATGTATTAAAAAAGTTTTGATACTATTATATCATGCAGTAAAAAGGAACATAGAGAGTTTAAAATATTCATCCATCTCACTATAATGTCAAGTAAACTTTGTTATAAAATAAATTAGAATTTGCTAAATGTGTCAATTAAAAAGAAACGGATGAAATATTATTTTAATCTGATGTATCAAATGAAGTCATTAGACATTTGGACATTTTAATGACTAATATAAGCATAGGCTCTCGTGAGAACTCTTTCATATATGAGAACACTCCCATATTCTAAATTTTTACTCATATATTCTAAATTTTACTCACATGTTCTAAATCTTAAATTAGCTATAAGTTTTAAATTGTGCTCTCAGATTTTTAATCATATATTCTATTTATTACCCATAAGCTCCAAACTTTTACTCACATGCTCTAAATTTTAAATTAGGTATTCTAAATAAATTTTACTCATAAGATTCTTATTATATCAGATGTATCACTTTATTAATGGATCAGTTTCTATACGTATTACTTTCTATTATAAATTCTGTAATGATTTCTTCTATGTTAGCATCGAATTTGACAACATGTTAATATTTGTATCTCTTTTGTCTTAAAAAATTGTGTTTTAGTTCGTTATTTTTAACCCTACTTTAAATCTTTAATACAATATTGTAAGTGTTAAATATTTGCAGGGAGGTCAAATTTGTAAGTATTCCTTATTTACATTATATGTTTTGTAGTAAATTTTGAAATAAGAACACTTAATTAAAAATCAAATATCATTACTTAGTGTACCTTGCTATGTATGTTTGATTAACACTAACCAGAAATATTGTTTGTAATCATTAATGTATTTAAAGTATCATAACCATAAACATGCACTAATATGATTGTTTTATGTAATTATTCATGCATATATAGTATCATATCCATAAACATGGTTAATATTTATTATATAATAGAGTTAAGTGTAAGTGGGGTACATCGTACATGTGATGGATAATGAATTCATTAAATACATTTAGCGTTTTTATTTTTATTTTATTTTATATATTTTTTTTTGTTTAGGAAGGAAATTTAGAAATTTAGGGTAAGTTTCCCTCCAAAATAATTCTGTAAAATGGATCATGTTTACAAAAATGTACAACTTATTGACTTTCCCTCAGCCATTTACAACTGTAAAATACATGTACTAAAAACGGATCTAACACAAAGAAATTAAAAAGTAGGAAAAAAAGATTAAAATGGATTTTTTGGACATGGTAAGTTTGAAGTTGGGCCACATGTTCACAATATTCATCATTATTATTATTATTTTTATTAATTTTTAAAAAGCCACAGTTGTAGAATACAGTATAAAATGAAATAATAAATTTTTTTTACGAAATATACAAGATTAAAAAAAAAGTTCAAATAAAATAGTTATTAAAGATAAAAAAAAGTTAGCCACTCCTCTGAAAATACATATTTAACAAGAATGATTCTATAAAATGATCATTTTTCCAAAAAAAATAAAGGCTTCTTCAAGGTCACAAGGTTCAAACACAGGAGGATTTTCATAGCAAACAAGTTTGTCATGTGGTTGACCATTGGACTAGGGGGTATCAGCACATTCATTAACTCTAAAAAATATTATTTATAATGAAAGTTATATAATAAATAAACTGGTTGTTTTTTTATTATTTTTTAAAATTGTTTTTCCTGAAATTGTTTTATTTTTATTAAATTATTTAAGGGCCACAGTATAGAATAGAATTAAAAAAAAAAATTCTTTTTTTAAAACAATTAAAAGAGTTACGCACAATAACACAAGTGATGTCTAAAAGTATAACTTTGCCATTTTTGATATTATAAAAATAAATGATATTTTAAATTGTGAATTTTTTAAAATAAAATAATAAAACATGTTTTACGCACTGTCGCAGGGTTCGAACATAAGTGGACTATACACATTACACGCGTTAGTTATTTACTAGACCATTGGCTAAGGGGTATCAGCACGTCTAATAGGTTTAGAGAAATGTTTTTTTTTTTTTTTTTTTTTTTTTTTTTTTTTTCAATCTGTAACCAGAGAAAATTATTTAGAAGCTAGAGGAATCTAGCAAAACCAACAACAATACAAGGAGGAGCATCCTCTATCTAAACACGCATCTCCTCATATTCTCTACTAACCTGAGCTAATTTGTGGGCTACAACATTGCCACTTCTAGCTACTTGAGAGACATTAAAATTAGAACATAGATCAGCTAAGTGGAGAATGTCACACACAATCAGACCAAAACCAGAAAATCCCTGTTTACTATGCTTGAGATAATAGTACAACTTACTATTATCAATTTCAAGAAATGTATTTATCTCTCACCTTAGGTTGTTTTTGTTTTAAAATTCTTTTTCCTGGACGGAAATGGTTTCTCCAATTACAATTTCGACAACAAATTCCGACAACAAATTCAACAAAATATGTACAAGTTCAACAATAATATAATTTTAACAAGTTATAACTTAATTTTATCAAAAATTATTAACATCAAAATTAATCTTATTAATTATAAACACCGGCAATGGGTCACCACGTGCTGGTAGACAAACACCCGCAACGTCGAAGATGGGACAACACCGCAACGACAAACCTTGGTCTTCAAATAAGAAATATAGAAATCTTGTTCACAAATAAGAAATTCAGAAATCTTGTTCACACATAAGAAATACAGAAATCTTGGTCTTCAATTATATTTACTCTCTATCAACAATGGAGAGAGCAAAAAAAAATGAGGGGAAAAAAATAAGAGCCTGTTTTTTTTTTCAGGATTATATACTAATTTAAATATGTAGTTGAAGGTAGGGTTTTATTTGAAACTAGATTAGGTCCCGTTCCATGCACGACAATTAATTTCACTATTGTTTATAATTCAACACAAAATTTTTAAAAAACAAAAATAATATAATTTGTATAATGCATGTGGACAAAATACATAATCATAGTATTTTTTTTATGTATATAATGAAATGAAACATGAAATATAATGACAACAGAGTAATTACACAAATAAGATTAAAATTTTAATGATAAATTGATATCGTTTTTCTTTTTATTAACTAAATAATTAAGTATTTTAAAATTATATTTAAACACTATGGAATTGTAACATAAATAATTACTACAGTGTATTTGATACAATTTAGGATAGTGGTAAACATATCTGATTTGTCGTGCTTTTGATATACATAAATAACTAAAACTTAAAAATAAATCAAATAAGATTAATATTGTAAATATATATATATATATATATATATATATATTATGCTATTAGGAAGCCGTTTCCTAATAAGAAATTAAAACATTTTGAAATTTCTAAATAGAGAATATATGAATAACAAAAGAAGACCTAGGGAATAATAGTAATAGTAATAATCAAGTATGAATCAATTATTTCTAAAACGCATAATTTTTTTTTAATTTTTGTTACAAAATTACTACATATATAATATATTGAAGATTTGAAGGAATAAAATAATGCATAAGGATAAGGAAATTATATGTACTCCATGTATATACAAAGTAATAGACGTTAGAATAGTATTTTATGGAAAATATGTGAATCACAAATATATATTTTTTGTTTAAGTGAATGATTTGGTGAATATTTTTAGTATATTTTACAATAAGTAGTTGATGTCACCGTGGAAAAAAAACTTAGAGGAAAAAACAGTACCAAATTATGACACGTGTTATTTCTAGAGTCGATTTCTTCCTAGTGTCTGTTTTAATATTACGTTATAGATTGAATAGTCTAGATATAAAATAATAATAATAATAATATATACAATAAAAGATATGGAAAATATGTGAATCACAAATATATATATTTTTATTAGGAAAGTGAATCACAATCAAATTATTTGATGAATATATATAAAGTATATTTACAATAAAACGTAAATAAAATAAAAAAAACAGTTTTGGAGGGAAAATATAGCACTAGGAAGTGATACGTGTCATTCTTGGTGTCTGTTTTAGTATTATGTTATTGATTCAAATTTTCAGAAAATAAATCTGAAATTTGGATGAAAAGTTAGATGACCCACCCAAAAAAAAAAAATTTCCTTCTCAACCAATAGGGAGCTTGGTGTAAAAGATTCCTTGTAGACCAAGTGTACGCCTAGCATCTCCCCTGTTTTTCTTCTCTTTGATATTTAATACAATTAATATTTCATTGTATGATTTTTGAAACAATTAATAAAAACTTAAGTTTGATTTTGGTATAAAGAGAGCAAAAGTAAATTAATGTAGACGAAATTTAATTTCATGATTGGATATAGGCTTTAACCAAGAAAGGTAGTTGGTATCCCCAAACTATAACTGTAATTGTTCTTATAACATTTTATTTCATATAAAGGTACATTGGACATCCCAAACACAAAGCAAAGACTTTATCGTTACATATAAGGAGATTAAAGGTTTATTTACCAAACCCTTTTTATATCCCCATAAACCAAACTTATTTATACACAGCTTTAGACAAACAACAATAAGAGAAACATAACAACTAATTAGGCTTGCAAGCAACAACACATTTGTGGAGATTTTATTGATTAGGCTGCCACATGCTCATTCACTATGGAAGCCTCCACCTTTGGCAAGTCACAGGCACCAACATTATCATTGTGCAATAAATTATGGCCGCTACAACCACTGCCGCAACCACCACTGCCGCCGCAGCCTCCACTCTTGACCACACCACCATATCCGCCAAAACCTTTACAACCACCACCACAGCCGCTTCCGCAACCACCACCATTCTGAACCATGTTTCCGCATCCACTGCCACATCCACCACTCTGGACCATGTTTCCACAACCACTGCCACATTCGCTGCCACATCCACCACTCTTGACCATGTTTCCACATCCGCTGCCACATCCACTACCACATCTACCACTCTGGACCATATTTCCGCAACCACTGCCACATCCACTGCCACAGCCACCACTCTGGACCATATTTCCGCAACCACTACCACATCCACTGCCACACCCACCACTCTGGACCATGTTTCCGCATCCACTGCCACAGCCACTCCCACAACCTCCACTTTGAGAATTTCCTTGTATCCCTATGTCACCACAAGCCTCCTCCACTTTGGCCTCTATTACATTTTCAGCATTACCAGGAGAAGTGATTACTTGGATCACTTGGTTTAATATGTTTTCCTTAGAACCTACTTTGGCAGTGAAACCACCCTTTCTTTTCAGTATATCAGATAGAATGAAGGCTAAAGTGATGCCAGTTAGTATCATCCATTCATCCTTGACCTGTTCGCGACAAGAAGGGAAGTAAGCAATATGAGACAAGGGAAATATGAATACAAGATAAAGTCCTCGATCATATAGGATACCTTGAAGGTTCCATTTTTAAAATCAATCAGTGCTGTCGCCCTTCCGTAAGGATACTTTGCGGAGAATTCAACGGCAGTCATAAAATCATGTTCACTACTCTGTTTTTTGCAGTGTTTGGGCTCAAAGTCCAGCCTTCTTCCAGCAAAAAGTTTCATCTATGCAAAAGTTCAATTCACAGGATATTTATTTACTGAAAATTGGTCACGGGATTTGTAAAAGGAGCTAGGAAAGCTGATAAAAGTTTAGTCCTAATTATTTAGACAACAAATTCAAGCAAGATAGCAGAAGTATTACCATCTTATGACCAACAAGCTCAAAGAGATGACCATCATTTCCAGAAGTATTGTGAAGCTTAAAGGAGCCATGGGTCCCCTTAATTAACCACCCATTTCCCTGAAACTCTGCCAAGCTATGTGTTTCACCAGAGCCTGTGATGTAGTGTACCTCCTTTAGCAACCCAGGGGTACTTCTTGTCATGTCCTTGCTCGATTCCCTGAGAAACGATAACGTCATAAATGGTGAAAGAGTAAGATATTGCAGATATCCATCACTAATTCTTAAGTGGTAGTCTAGTAGATGCGAAACCAAGAGAAACAGCTGGTGTAGAATTAGAATGACCATAAATAAATTGATAAATACACAAACTAAAGATTTAAGGTTTATGTCCTAAGAAAATATATATCCACAAGAAGAAATCCACTTTTGAGACACTACAAAGGGCTACCATTGAAGTTATGCTCTGGTATAAAAGAAGACAGGAAGGTAGCAAGGAAGACCTCTGCAGATGCCTAAGTAGAGGGCTTGAACATGGTATCTGATGGTCACCATGAGAAGCCAACCATTGAACACAGTCAACTTTGGTTTTATTATTCTTTTGAACATGTAGACCGACTTTCACAGGCAAGTAGGAAACTAAACACAAAAGCTCCAAAGTTGATTTTAAAAATGTACCGAATTATATCCATACCTCATTTGAAGATTAAGAACATCATTTCCATCATCATCAGTAATACAGGTACGGCTTTTAGCATGTTTAATCTTCCCTATCTTGGGAAGTGGGAAATAACAAGAACTTTTAAGGAAAGGTTGAGGCCACAACAGATGAAAAACTTGTACTGCTGATGTCGGAAGAGTACATGAAAGAGAAACATGCAGAAGGATAGGCTTAGAAGCTAAGATACCAGGTAGAGGAACAACAGGGAGCCATTTATTTACAGTAAGTTGTGATCCGGAAGCCACACATTCTTGCAGTGAGAGGGAGCAAGAACCAAATGGTTTGAATGATTTAGGTAATGGTATGTATGAAGGCGAATGGCATTCAAGCTCAAAGAGAAACTCTCCAGTAGGCTCACACTGGAAATAAGCAACCTGTTTTTCTCCAGACTCGGATAAAATGCTCAAAGTTCTCTTGGCGCTAAAAAGATTATCAGGTTGTTTCTTACGGAAGGAGACATGGATGTTTCCTTTGTGAGCCTCAGGCAAATTCTTTATTTCTACAAATTCCAAAAGAACCTGAAAATGAAAAATAAAAGTAAAAGAAATCATGACTTACTGGGGTATATAACAGCAAATATATTAAAATTTCAAAAGCCAAGAAGTTTACAGGCTTTTTTAGCTTCACTACAGAATCGACTAAAACACTACACTAGTACACTCAAATTTCATCAATACAATCATGAAAACATTTGACTTGGTTTTATAGGTACACTTGCATTAAAAAAACCTTCAAAGAATGTAAGGAGCAAACAGTCCGCATTGAATGCCAAGCCAAACACTAAACAAAAGTTTCATTAGCAACTATTACCATCTAAAATATTTAGCAATAAAACAATATAAATCCGCCTCAATATGAAACAACTTTCTATGATTCAGTGCTCATCCTCATTGAAGTTGTAAAACACACTGCAACATATAATAGTCAAACATCACAAGGGGTATAGTGCCACAGTAAATAAGCTTGTTCATCTAGAATAAAAACCCATGTGTTCAACCTTACAGATGTGTAAAGATTAAAGAAAACAGATAAAAGGGAGGAGACAATTAGATAGAACTATCATCAAGATAAAGTGTCAGAAATACCTCTATAGCTTTCATTTCTGGAAATTGAATGAAATTATCGCATATGTCGGGTGCATGTAACTTCTTGGCCTCGTAAGTGAATGGGATAGGAAGTTGTGTAACAGGAGTTGGAGTAGCTCCTCTATACATTGCCCCCGCTTTCCAATACCTTAAGCCAAATGTGTCTTCCCACTGCTTGGTAGTATCAGAAAATCCAGTGTCTAGTTTCTTCCCTTTTGTTCTGTCAGAGTCAGTGTCATCATGCTCTAACACCTTGCCCATTAACTTAAGGAGGTCGTTACAGTAAGAAACAGGATTTAATTGGTGTGTATGCCAGATAAGGTCAACATCATAAGTAGGAACACAAAAACGTTTTATGTTGTTTTTCCTGTTAGTCCTGATAAGATGCAAAAACCCTTTATATCTGGCCACCGCTTCCTGAAGAAAGAGATCATCAGACATATGTGGCCTCGCAACCTGCCAACAAAGGAACATACAGGTAACATTAGTAATAAACTAATAACACTCATAATTAATGAACATTTAAGAAACAAGTTAACAGCAGAATTTATAAAGCATCCTTAGCTTTTTGATCCTCAGGAAAAGGAAAAACATACAAGAACAGGACAAGCAACTAAAGCATTGCGTTTCATTGAACTGGTACGAAGGTAAAACCCTTAGCAATATTTTAATGCGATTTATAACTTTAACTCATAAACAGGAAAGTGAAGGAAGAATTAAGAGGGACACAGGTTGGTTCAGCATTATTCTCACCGTGTGAGTGTGAAGTAAGGGCTCAATTATCATTCAGATTGATTAAAATGAAAGCCTAAAAACCTCCAATTTTTTTCATCACTACAAATGAGATCTTTCTAAACGAAAAAACACGCAATAAACAGAACTGAACATAGTTGGACCTCATGTCATGTTTATCCTCATTAACATCACTGTAGCATTAATGCATTATTAATTGTCAAACATTAGGAGCTTCCATTACCTGAAAAGAGAAAGGGACCTGTCTTTTAGCAGCAGAAACCAGGTCATAACTAGTAAATTTTTCATTCTGAACATTCTTTTGCAAGCTATCTCCTGGAAAAGATCTGTTACAGTCAAGCTCATATGACTCTTCAGGATACATTTTGTTCCATAACTCCTCAGTTCTGCTTTTTGATATTCCTTGAACAGATGAGATGATGTTACGGTTGCCAAGGATTCTTCCAAACCGCTCCTCGCAGTCTGACTTATATCTTACCTGTTTCATGGAAACATAATATATAATTCACCATCCTTTAAAAACAAGAAAAGGGATTTAGAGATTATTAATGTCCAGAACCCTACTGGATTGAGCCTATGGCAATGCCATATCCATTCACAGTCAAAAGGGACAACTAACGGGTCTTCTGATACGGCATTCTCTGAATGTTTGGCCAGCAAGGGAAGCCAAAAGGCGTTGTACCTGAGAGAGGCGTATTGCATTGATTAACTGAGTACAGCCTATAAAAATGTCAAATAGAAAAAAGCCACAGGTAACCATCATCACGAATCCAAGGAAAGGTCACCAAACATTCACATCAGCATCTAAGATAACCTATAACCTATCTGCACTCACCCTTCAAGTAAAATACATTTGATATATCAAAGTCAAATCCGAAAAATTGCAATTACATAACTATTTACAAGAGTTTTTTCGATTATTTCCGTAAGGTGCAACCTCCCCCACCCCCACCCCCACTCCCCCTACCCTTACTGTTGGGGACGGAGCAACATAAAGACACAATATCGGGAAGAATAATAAAATACGGAGCAACAAGAAAACAACACACAAGATTTTTACGTGGAAAACCCCTCCTCTATAAGGGGAAAAACCACGGTCCGGATCTCCACCGACGAAACAACTTTACTAGCAATAATTTCGTGAGTACAATGACCAACACTACAATTACAATATTAGATAAAATGTATTCTTAGGATAGTCTACACTAGTAACCTCAACATGGTACTTACACTAATCCAAAAATAACCCTCACACTAATACTGTGTTTACCTCTCCGTCCTTCACAACTATAGCTATATATCTCCTTCTCTATGAGATTATTGCTGTTCTACTGCTTTCGCTAGTAAGCTTCTTCTTGCATCTTCGACTCACGCTGGCACATATTATATATATATCCAAGATGGAGCTTCTCCATCAAGTTTCCCACCTAGCATTACTGCCTTCTCACGTACAACAAGCACTAAGTTTTGTCTAACACTTGGGCTGTATGGTTGAACTTCTTGGAATGGGTTGGAATGGATTTAGAATCCATTCCATGGTTTTATTTGTTTGGTTGGGCTATTTAAGTATGAAATCTCATACCTGGAGATTCTAATTCCACCCCATTTCATTGGAATCTCATACCCATCTTCCCCCTAAGGATTCATAATCCATACTACCACTCAAGTATGAGAATCCATTCCATGGTTAAACCAAACAATTTTAGATTGGTATAGGATATAGAATTCATACCACCTAAATATGAGAGTCCATACCAATCCATTCCAGCTTAGTGAACCAAACGACCCCTAAGTAAATGTGTCTTCCTCTAGTAGACAAAATAGTGACAAAGTCTTCTTGCATTTAAGACTCTGACACTTTGGACTTTTGTGTCCATACACCCAAGTCCCAATTGTCACCTATCTTCTTCATTCATTTCCTCTTTTTTTCTATTCTTTTTTTTTTTTTTCTTTTGCTACAATAATTATTATTACTACTACTACTAATAATACTACCTAACTAATTGGGATTTGGGGAGATTAACCCAACACCTACCATACAGAAATGAGGTGAAATGAGGGAGTAATCAGCATGATCTCACTTTCTTTACAACCAAACAAGCACCAATGTACTAGAATAACCAGATTCACATCATAGATTACTGAGAAATCATTAAGTTGTTCTATTTGAAGGATATACTAAAGGATAAACTAATGATGAACAAGAACATTGTATTACTATGATAACCATCATTGTGTCCTCGTGCTTCTTAAGTAAGGTATAAGGTGTAGATTTACCAATATTTTATCCTCATATCAAGAACTAAAAAGACACATCACAAAAACAATAAAAAATGTGCATACTAGCATTTAGCATAGGAGCACAAGTTCTCAGCTTTATAAATTTTTAAGACTTAGAACCCTGACAGTAAGCAACATATATACCACTCCTTCCGTCTAGATTTAATCGTTAAGGTCATGATGCAATTCAAATCAATAATATGACAACCAAACGCGACTGCTTGAAAGAAAAAAGCACCAGAATTGAATCGAAAAATGTCCAAAAGAAAAAAATAAATCAGAAGTAGACACCAAAATTATACCTATAGATAGCCCATTCCATAGCAGGACTTTCATACAAATATCGATTCCGATCAACAGCAGCAAGAAATTCCAGCTGTTTTTTAGCAGCCTCAAGAAGATCAACACTCACAGCAATATTCTGTGCTTTTGCCCACTCTATCTCTTGCTCTTTCTCCATATTTTGACCTATCAAAATAATCGCAATTCATTCAGAGAACATGCACAACTGAGATAAACTTAACGATTGTACACAGAAAAATGGAGAAATTTATCCAATATTCACAGCAGCACCTAAGTCTAATTTCGCAAAAGAATGGGGTCGACTACTTGAACCAAAAATTTATCGAGGTCACACCGATCCTCTTCCTAAATTAATTTCTTTATACTACAACAATTATCTGACATTATTGATGAAAATCAAAGAACCCCTTTGATTATTGACCAAATTTTAAACCGGTCCACTCATCAACATTTCAGTATAAATAATCTTTTCCTAATGACTAAATTCTTGATTGTTCAATACATTTATTCATTCGGAATAAATGGAAGAAATTTAAAAAGTCGCGATCACTATTCAATATTATCTAATCCAATTATGATCATATAATATAAAAACTCGAATCACTATCTATTTATTTATGTAATTTTGATTAGGAAAGAAAACAAGAGAAAACAAATAAACTGAATTATCCTAGAAAGATCAAATTCGATACAACCTGAATTCAGTCCCAGAAATCATCTCAAAAGTAACTTCAAAAACACATATTCAAAGTCAACAATCATGAAAATAAGATCGTCAAAATATCCAAATAAAATCAAATATATATTTCAATTTCAATTTAATAAAGGAAGCTTACAACTAGATAAAATTTTCTCTTCAATGATGCGGGCGATCTTTATCTAAACTCAGTTGCTGAATTTTCAGATTTTTTTTAATACTAGCAATCTTTTTTTTTTTTTTTTTTTTTTTTTTTTTTTTTTGTTTATGTCTGAAAGTTGATTTTTTTCTGAGGCGAACGAAGCTGATTTATATAGTAGGGGTACTGAGAAACGTACAGAAGTAATAGGAGTACAAATGTACAATGCGATTTGATCGTATTCCCAATTTTGTCTTTGTGTGCATTTGGGTGTTTTATCCGACCCATAACCCGGTTTAAATTAATGGACTTCTCTCTCCGTTTAAATTAATTGACACATTAACTATAGCATTATTATCGTTTTAAATAAATTTTTTGTAAAAAAAATCTAAAAACAGAGGAAATAGCTTTTTCTATCGTCATGAAAGTGAATGTGTATAGGCCGAGGGATAAGAGTTTCTTCAAGTTAACGATTTTGCGGGTTTTGAGTATTTTTTTTTTGGAGGTTTTTGAGTAGATTCATGCTCATTATATTCATTTTTGGTTATGGAAAAATATGTGTTAGTCCAAATGAGTCACTAGCAACATTTATCGTGGCCATGGCGTAATTGCAACCTATACATTTCATGTTTCTTCTTTAAGGAAATTATGTCGCTAATGGATTCACAATGTATACTACACATGAAATTAGCGTCTTATCTTCATGTATCGTACTACAAATCATAAAATTTTCTTCCAATAAAATTAAATATTCTTGTTAAAGCATTTTTTTTTTTTTAGGGAAACTGTTAAGCGAAATTAGAATAAGATAAACATCCATATTAAAACAAAACTGAAATAGGACAAATATCCCTTTCCCAATGCGACACGATTCATGCAGTGGAATCCTAAGTCATTATTCAGCAATAGAAAAGGAAATTATACCTTTCAATACTCCTTTTATTTTTTTCTCTTTTATTTTTATTTTTTTTCCACAAAGTATTCTATGGTTCTTGAAAGTATTATTCCTTAACAATTTATCTTGTTTGAACTTATTTGCCTTTAATTTATATGGATAATTCGTATATTTTTTTTTAATCTTTTACAAAGTACTTATATTATTTTATCTACTTTCCTCGTCATTCGTTTCGTTCCGAGCAATGTCCTTTTAGGATAGCAATCACGGAGTATCTTAATTAGTATCATGTGCAAGTAATGCGGAGTATGTGACTATAGACTGTAAGAGGGCATTTGGTTCGGAGAATAAAAAAGGAGTGGAAATAAAACAAATAAGAGGGGAGAAATGATTCATTTAACTATTACTTTTTCATTTGTTTGGTTTAAATATGAAAAGGGTATTATTTGTTAAGAGGAGAGTAAGGGTATTTGTTACCCTAAGTTTTTGAGAGGTAATAAATGAGAGATAACCATTACCCTTAGATAATGGTAATTGTTATCATGCCTTCTAACTAAACATATGGTAACGGCATCGATTAAATCGAATCCGTTTCCAATCCAAAAAATACACTAATCAAATGTCAGCATAGATGAAAAAAAGTATACTTAATTACTTATGTAGTAAACTACATACAAGAAGATAATCCCTCTATTTTTTTTATAAGCTAGAGTCAAATTTGCATATTTGTCGAGACACAACTTTGACCATCACTATTTTTAATGAGAGATAAGTAAAAGTTATGAAAAAAATAATTTATAAAAGTAGACATTATGACAAATTCAACAACATATTATATGATCATATTTATATATTATATATTAGTAAAAAAATTAAGTCAATAATGACATATAAATAGTAGAAAATCTCAACTCTAACTTATAAAAAAAGAAAATGGAGAGAGTAATAATAATAGTGGGTAGTATATTGGTGTCAAAAACTCAAGATACATGAACTTATGGATTGAAGTTCACAATTAACTTTGTACTCCGTATATATGTTCACCATACATACGATATACATGCAACTACAAATATCTGTCTTTATTTGTAGGAATATACATCAGCATGCACATGTATATGACAATGACATACGGAGTAGATCATAAAAATTGTATACTACGTATGTTACATGAGCGTATATGTTGTAATTAGCTTGCGAAGGCAATTGTTATCTTGCTCCAAAATTAAGTACAACGGTCCAGTGTACTGGTCATCAAAGGAAAGTAGTACTAGTTGTACTACCATACTTTGAAATGACTCATTTTTCACGACTATAAAGACAGTACCTATTTTATTTCCTTTTTTTTTTTTGGAAATTCTCATAAATACCACTTTAGAATTAACCTTTTCCATTGATATACTCATAATTTTTTTTTCACCGGTACAATTATGGTTCAGTCTTTTTCCCAATCATGACTAACACTGCTAATAACTAGAAAATTAAATTGTTATCTTTTACACCAATTTATCTCAAATTGTTAACTTTTACACCAATTTGTTGTTGGGTATAATTTTTATACCAATTTATCATTAAGGTGCTAACTTTTATAACAATGTGTTACTAAGGTGATATTTTATACCAATGTGGTCAATTAGCCAAATTTATGTTTCCAATTTTGAAAATAAGGAAGAACAAGTGACAAAAGTAGACTACTTACCTACTTTCATTCCAAAGAAGGATCGCTAACAACTCCATGTATATTACTACCTCCGTTTTTTTTGTTGATACGTTTTTTTTTGTTTCGTGCTTTATCATGGTTCGAAAATGCGGCCGAAACGTCGCGTATCGCCCGTTTTGTAGCGGATTTGAAGATTACCGAACCGAGATTTACCGGTACGGCACGCTGTTTTTTTGAAAACCCACAATTTTGGCCGCATTGGCCGTTTTGAACAGAATTTCGGCCGCATCGGCCGTTTAGAACAGAATTTCAGCTGGTTCGAACGATTTCAAACAAAAAACTCTCAAATTTTAAGCTCTTACCTCTTTTCCCGGCGATGGCTATCGACTACTCCATAAAAGTCGACCCTTTTTCAGTTCAAAAGTGAAAGTCTTTCTTTTTGTTTTTTTTTTTAAATAATGAGTCAGAGTGTGTGACAACTAGAAGTCTTATCTTTTGTTATTCTTTAGAAGGTGAACCTGACCCCATCAGCACTTGAGCATACTCTTGACTCTTCCTTTTTTAATTTTTTCCCCACGTGACCCCAGAGTTTTTCCCACTTTTAATTTCTAGCACATACGAGTAGAAATATAGAATAGGAATTTAATTTTAAAATTAATCTAAAAGAGTTACAGTAGTAATAGTAACAAAAAGTTCTAAGTTACTGAAAGTACTCCATAGTAATAATAATACTATGGAGAAAATAAGCATATAAAATTTATGAAAAATTCATCATAAAACATATAAAACTAAAATATGAAATTTATGCGTGACAACTGCGATGCAATCCGCAATTAACGCATCAATTCCGTTATCGAAATATCGCGACCGCTTCCGCTATCACAACTGAAATTGCCTTTTCGAACCATGTGCTTTATACGTAATAAAAAATATAGTCGTGTGAGATCTTGTTGGATTCGTCACAATATATATTTTCAAAATATCAACTTTTCATAATTTTTACTTATCGATAATTAAAGATACTAATGGTTGAATTTGTGCATTGACAAACGTGACTAAAGAAACGTGTCAACTAAAAAAAAATGGAGGAAGTATATGATTTGGGTACATTTACATTTGAAAGACACTAATAGTCTATTACTGTGTTTGTTCTTAATGTGTCATTGTTAAAACCCTATTTGATTTGAGGACAAATCTTTTCTAAATTATTTTATGGTGGGCAGATACTGATGATATGAGAATATGAATTGAGCTTTCACTACTAGAAAACAAGCAAATTTCGACGGAAAAATTCCGTCGAAAACAACCCATTTTACGTCGGAAAACATGTCTCCGACGGAATTCCGACAAAACGATCATCGGAAACGCTTTTGTAGGAAAATCGACCTTTTTAGATTTAGAAAGAGGGGAAGGAAGAGGAGAGAAGAAAGAGGCGAGAAAGAGAGAAGATGAAAGGAAAGAGAAGAGAAGAGAGAAGGAGAACAGAGGATGAGAGAGAAGGGGAAAGAGAGAGAAGGAGAAAGGGGGAAAGAGAAAGAGATGGGGGGGGGTGACTGTCTTTTAGGGTTTTTATTTATTTTTCTTTTTTTTAAATATGTTCTAACGGAATTTCCGACGAAATAAAAATCTGTCGGAAACAGTAATTTCCGACGGATTTTTTCGTCAGAAAGTACATTACGTCGGAAATTTCCGACAGAATTGTTGAATTCGTCTGAAATATCTGACGGAAAAAAATTCGTCGAAAAATTCGGATTTTCCGGTGGAATATCGTGATCGTCAGAACCAACCCGTCGGAATTAAGTTGTTTTCTTGTAGTGTTTTGTGCTTAAGCCTAAGTGAGAGGGTTCTTATAAGAGATTAGTGTATTAACCTGAAAATCTTTTCAAAAAAGGGATTAGTGATGATATGAAAATATGAATTAAGCTTTTGTGCTTAAGCCTATATTATAAGTAAGAGAATTCTTATAAGAGGCTAGTTACCGTTAAATTCACCCTTAAAAGTCGATGCCTTTTAAATTTTTATCCACTTTGTACCCAACTACATCTAAGAATTTGATTTACGCTTTCCAACTTATCCTTTCACAAACCCATATATTTATTGGGAAATTCTCAACGGTGACCCTCAACTTTTGCTACGCACCAATGGTCACCTCCCTTTTTTTTTATTATAAAAAATGACCTTAGTTAAAAATTTCATCTCACTCATAACCTTATTTCATTAAATATTAACTATGGTTAGATTTCTATTTAAAAAAAAAAAGAAAAAAAAAAATTAACCCCAACCACCAAAAACCAACCACCATTTGCCAGCCACAATCTCCCTTCCGGCGACACTACCCAGGTTCCATCGATCACCACTGTCATTATCCAGACTGTCCCGACCGCCGGTGACACTGCGCCAACTCCACCTCGACCACCGTTAAGCCCGATTCTCACCCGAACCGACCCTAACCTCATAACTCTCTCTCCTCTGAACTTTGATTCTCGCCGCTTCGTTGTGAGGTTTCGATTCTGGGCGGGGATTGGAGAAGGCGGAAGATAAAGAGAGAAAGGGTGGAGGAGAAGGCAGAGAAGAAAGAGAGAGCAGGAGGATCGGTGGTCGCCTTGGTCGGTTCTAGGTAATTTGGTGATCTGGGGTGGTCGATGTTTGGCTTCGGCGGTCTGGGGGTGGTCGGGATTCTAAGTACGGCGATCTATAGTGGTCGGGGTAGTCGGGGTTCAAAGTTCAGCGATCTAGGGTGGTTGTTGTTTGGGTTCAGCGATCTAGGAGTGGTCGGGGTTCTAAGTTCGGCAATCTGGGGTGGTTATGATTTGGGTTAGGCGATCTGGGAGTGGTTGAGGTGGTCTCGCCGGAAAGGGAGATGGTGGCTGGGCAGGTAGGGGTGGCCGGTTTTTGGTGGTTGGGTGAATTATTCGACGACTGACGGTGGTTGTCTCTTGGGAAGCGGTTGTTGGTTGGTTGCGGGCTGCTAAGCGAGGGAGTTGTTGCGCTGGGGTTGTGCGGTGATGGGTTGAAGGTGGAGGTAGGGAGATGGTGGCTCCGTGAGGGTGGAGGTGGTGTTGGCTATATCTGGTGGGGATGAGGGTGAAGGTGGTGGTTGGGTTGGTGGTTTTTTTTTTTAGTGTTTTTTTTTTTTTTTTTTTTCCAAAGTTAACCATAGTTATTTTTTTATAAATAAATAACACTCATTAATGTTATATGTGAAATTAATTTCTTAATTAGGATCATTTTGTATAATAAAAAAAAAGGGAGGTAACCATTAATGCGTAGCAGAATTTGGGGATCACCGTTGAGAATTTCCCATATTTATTTCATACTAAACTAATTTAATGTCCATACTCCATAGTCTTACCACACGCAAAAAACGCACATGCACTAATACACTATGCAAATTGCTTTCTCCATGTCCCCCAATCTTGCAAATTTTCCCTTTCAGATTCCCAATATTATACACAAATAACACAATACACCCAAAATAGATAGTAGTGATTTAGCCTATGATGATACCATTACTCTCTCACCCCGATGGCTATACCTAACTTGAAAGAATTGCAACAAAAGAAACAGATTACATTTTTCAAATCTTTACTGTTATTTTTTGCTCATCATTGATGGGTTAACAGCTGTGAAAGATTGCATCCGCAATCCCAATTCAAGAGTTTCTAACTAAACACTCGGTAAAATAATTACAAAAACCTGCCTGCAGGGACAGAATGACAGAGAGATATATCGCTGAATGATGAACTACAAAAGGTTTCTACCACCGGCACATTAAAAGGCTCACTTATTTACCTCCTCGTATTCTGCTTCAGGAGTCTGATCTCCACCACCTTGCGACCCGCCAGAAGAACCCCCATCAGCACCACCACCAGACATATGTTGTCCGATCTTAGAAACTGCTGCATTAGCTGCATCAATCTTGGACTTGATCAAATCAGCATCATCTTTTTGCACAGCTTCCCTAAGATCCGCCACAGCAGATTCTATCTCCTTAACAACATCCGCAGGGACCTTATCCTTGTACTCTGACACACTCTTCTCAATACTATAAACAGTGGAATCTGCATTGTTCCTGACCTCAATGAGAGTCTTTCTTTGCTGATCCTTCTGAGCATGCAACTTTGCTTCCTGAACCATTTTTTGAATCTCAGCCTCTGACAATCCCCCAGATGACCTGATGGTGATTTGCTGTTCATTCCCTGTTGTCTTGTCTTTAGCAGAAACTGTGACTATGCCATTAGCATCAATGTCAAATGTCACTTCGATTTGTGGAACACCCCTTGGTGCTGGTGGAATTCCCTGTAGTTCAAACTCGCCCAAAAGTTTGTTGTCTGACGCCATTTCACGCTCACCCTGATAGACTTGGACTCCTACCTGTGTTTGATTATCTGCTGCTGTTGAGAATACCTGCCAGCATGACACACATGTCACAAAGTTGGTAAATGGTAATCATTCCAGAAGTCTGCTCATACTAGAAAAGACAGTTTTATGAACTAAAGGAGAAACGATCCTTAATTGATAGGATTAGGGAATAAAATTTCCCTTTCCCAAAGAACAAGCAAGAATGATGAAAGATTATTCGTATTCCTAAATTCCTCACTTTTACACTTCCATACAACTCAGAGGATAACCCAAAAGCAAACCAGAGGTACCAAGTGCAAATGAGTGATCACCTCTTAAAAAAAAACCTTTGATGCACACTTAAACAAAAGAGGTGTGCCTTAAACTCTTTAAAAGACTTCGAATCACCCTTAGTTAAGCACTTCTTTGAACTTACTTGAACTTGTAAAAACTTATTAAACCTTATTAAAACTTATTTAGTTGTAATTCAAACTTGGTTAACCCTTATCAAAACTTATTTTTCCTTAACTGAACTTATTTAAACTTATTAGACCTGAAATAAGTGAAAATAAGGTAAACAGAACAAGCCTTTAACTGAATATTTTTATGGTTTTTACAGTCTCATTTTGTAGTACAAGATTGTAATTTAAAAAGGTATTATCTTGGTGATGAACGCAAACCTTCACCAAGGGCCCAAAGCCGCAAATTATCTGGCACTCTAAAAATGTACATGAATCAGCTTTAATACACATGATTAATTTAGAAGGGGAAAAAAATCCTATCTGTCATGTTTTGGTAAAGAAAGCAACACAACAAAGAGAGACAAAAAATCAAACATGTATTTATCAGCACATGGGCCCCAAAACATCATGTGTCTTCCTTCAAGCTTATTTAAGCAAATCTTGACGGAAAATTGAGGAAAGCATTAGCTGAACTTACCTGAGACTTCTTTGTAGGAACGGTAGTGTTTCTATTGATGAGCCTTGTAAAAACACCACCCAGGGTTTCAATACCAAGAGAAAGTGGAGTTACATCCAGTAGAAGTAACTCTTTGACATCTCCTCGAAGAATACCGCCTTGAATTGCTGCACCAACTGCAACTGCTTCATCGGGATTGACTCCCTTACTAGGGCTCTTTCCAAAAATTTCACTAACAAGTCCTTGTACTTTCGGAACACGAGTCATTCCTCCCACCAAAAGGACTTCATCCAGATCTTTAGCTGATACTCCAGCATCCTTTAAACAACTCTTGCATGGGTCTCTAGTCCTAACAATCAAATTTTCCACTAGACTTTCGAACCTTGACCTTGTTAATGTCATGTTAAAATGTTTTGCACCAGATACATCAGCACTAATGAAGGGCAAGCTTATGTCTGTTTGAGTGGTAGATGATAATTCTATCTTCGCCTTTTCAGCAGCTTCCCGAAGCCTTTGTAAAGCTAATCGGTCTTGTGAGAGATCAATGCCATCAGATTTTTTGAACTCACTCACCAGATATTCCACCAAGGCATTGTCAAAATCTTCTCCTCCCAAGAAGGTATCGCCATTGGTTGCTTTTACCTGATGAGAGAAAAATAAAACACATCGAGCCAACTAGCCTAGAGGGAAAACTAACAAGCAACAAAGCCAGATGCAAATGAACACTATACCTCAAATACACCATTCGATATCTCCAAAATAGATATATCAAAAGTTCCACCACCAAGGTCAAAAACTGCTATGAGGCCTTCCTTGTTATTCAAACCATATGCAAGTGCAGCAGCAGTAGGTTCATTAATAATTCGTTGGACATCAAGACCTGCAATCCTTCCAGCATCTTTTGTTGCTTGCCTCTGAGCATCATTAAAGTAGGCAGGAACTGTTATTACAGCTTTAGAGATGTTCTTCCCCAGATAAGACTCTGCGGTTTCCTTCATCTTAGTCAAGATAAATGCTCCAATCTGGCTCGGTGAATACTGTTGCCCAGTAGTGGTTTCAACCCATGCATCTCCATTTGGGGCTTTAACTATTTTAAAAGGAACCATCTTGCTCTCTTTCTGTGTTTGAGGATCATCAAAACGCCTTCCAATCATACGCTTAATTCCAAAAAAGGTATTTTGTGGATTTGTCACAGCTTGTCTTTTTGCAGGGGTTCCCACCAGTAAATCCCCCTTAGGACTGAAGGCAACGACTGATGGTGTTGTTCGACCCCCTTCAGAATTCTCTATCACCTTAGCATTCTGCATAAGAAGCTCAACATTAGCAAGTTATAAGCAGATAGCAAGCCTAACTGACCAAAAGCTGAACCAATAAACGAAAAGGGAAACAAAAGACCAACCTTTCCCTCCATGACTGCCACACAAGAATTAGTAGTACCCAAATCAATGCCAATAATTTCATCACTAGCAGGTTTTGAGCTGCACAATAACATATTAGTGTCACCAACATGCACTAACGGCAAATCTCAAAGTTTCAAGCTATTTTTTAGGAAAGAACGAGTACATACCTGAATGGCCTGGTCAAACTCGTACATCTACTGATCAAAGATGGGGAAAACCATGATGGACTCAGATTGCTAGTGAACTGCAAAGAGTAATAGGGATAACAGTAAGTTGCAACCATTGTAATTTATCCTAGTCATATTGCATAACAAACAAGCATATTTCCTTAGGAAGCATCATAAACATAGCAAGATCAGAATCACATTTAACAACTTATGACATCAAGCCCACTGTTAATTCACTAGTACAGGACATAATTGATGATTGGATACCATAATGCAATTAACAAACTATTTTTTTGTAAATTAGGACAATATGTACCACTTTCATGAATTACTTACCTTTCTCATTGCAGTTGACAGGAGACAGCAAATGATGTAACACTAAGCACACCACAAACAATTTTTTATGTAGTCAAAAGACTCAAAACATGAAATATGATTAAGAAGTTCCAGGAAATGAGTCATATTCAATGGTCAATTGCTCATTATAAAAATAGTAAGATTTGCATTGTCATTACTCATTAGTTTCATGCACCCTACTATTTCACAGATTCAGAGTCCTTCAGACCCCAAACCAACAGATGATCTAAGCACTACATTCCTAGAATCCAAGATAAAGAATATCTTCAAACAACAAAAGTTCAGTCAAAAACCAACAATTAATTAAAATGACAGAAGAGAATATATAATTAAACCTTATATGTCTGGCCAGTAAAGTAATATAATCAATTGATCATCCATTTTTCCATGTCGTACAGGTTCGGAAAAAATCAGGTTTCCTGCCACAAAAGCTTGTTCAAAACCTATTAGTTCCAGGTTGGGTCAATTTTGACAAGTCAACTCTACTGATGTGCAAAACCCTAACTTCATCCATGAGACCACGATTTAATTAATAAATTACAGAATGGCACAAATGAAAGTCCATTCTCATTTCCAATAAATTTTGTTTCAAGGGTGTCTTCGACTCTTGGCCAATCTACATAGAAAAATCTTTAAAGATGTCACAAAATAAAAGTACAGACAATGCACTAATAACCCATAAGGGTATTGTATTACAGACATGAATGAATATAAATCACCAGGCTTGGTTTTGTCCAGCATTATGCTCATCACTTTGTTTTCTGCACCCTCTTACTCCTCTTTACAGCCTCATACGGCCAAGATTAACTCTGCTTATTACACAGGACAACCCAGGCTTTTACTTCATCCTATATTCATTTAGTTGACAATTGACATGTTTTAAAATCAAACACTTTTCACATAAATTACTTTTAACTCGTGCGATACACAATATATACTTGAAAAATTATGATCATGTGGGGTCTTATTAATTTGTCTCATTATATATTATTCCAAATACTAACTTTTTATAATTTCTCGTACTAAGAATTGAAGATATTAATTTCTCGTATTAAGTGGTAGATAATTCAACAAAAGCCCATTCATACTCCGTAATAGTTACAACTTATAAGTGATCATTTTTTTTTTACTTTTTTTTTTTTTTTTTTTTTTTTTTTTTTTTTTGGTGTGTGTTTAAAGCAAGTGATGAGAATTGATTCCAAGATCAATTGAAATCGGGGGAGAAGCTTTAATCACTTAAATTATCCCTCACTCTCATAAGTGATCATCTAAATGTGACAATGTCTATCAAACTTCCAAAACATCCCAAAAACAAAACCCAGTTGCATGATCATCCTACCAACACCAAATCACACAAAAATAATTAATTATAAAATGAAAATAAAAGAGTAAGAAAAGATAGACGAAAAGTACCGAACGATGAGCAGCAATAGAGGAGAGAGAATCACGGCGGCGAAGAGCTGATCGTAGAAGCACAGAAGCTGCCATTTTAGCGACTTTTTGCGCTTTGATTGTATGAAGTTGAAATTCTGATTTCAGGAGAAATGAGGGTTTTAGATTAATTGAGTGAGAGGATAGAGAAGGAAGAAGAAGGGTTTATTGAATTATGATGATTCCGAAAGTTTTTATGATACAGAGTACTAGAGTAGTAGGATGTTCTAGAGACTGTATCTGTGTTATTTTCCAGACAAGGCTACATCAACCCAGTTCCTTCTATTTGGGTGCTTCCATTTTACTGAAATAACCTTGCCTTGTTAAGTGTTGGGAGTTGGGACGTTTGTGTTGAGGGTAATTATGTAATATGGTTAATGAGTTGTACGAAGTTCTTCGTTATTGACTAATTTAGCGGGAATGTGATTTGGTTTCCAAGTCTTAGATACTAAAGACGTGTTATCTTCACCTGAAACAAGGAGATTTGGTCTGATTTTATAAGGTCTAATTTGGTTTGATTAAAATTTTTATTATCTAATCTGATCTGATCTGATTTAATAATTTGACTAAATTTTGACCGTATTTTAATACTAATCTATAAAGTCAAACATTATCAAAATGGATCTTATTACATTCGCCTCATTATGAACTTTTCAAATATGAAATTTTCATAATTTTTTGTAGTACGCAATTAGCAATATTTAGCAATAAGTAAATGATAATTAAAAGTTCTGATTTGGTCTAATCTGAATGTTTCTGGTCTGGTCTAGTCTAATCTGATCTGAATTTATTAAGGAATAAATAATAAGTACCTGAAATAAGTTGAAGAGAACATGTCCTAAATGCCCGTTGTATTTTTTTAATAATACCGAATTGGAATTCTTCACAAGTCAATTTGGTACTTGTTTTTTTTTTAAATGTTCATCTTCACAAGTTAAGTTTATAAAAAAAATAAAAATGTAGCTCATTTAATGGCCCGGCCAAGCATGTCCAATTAGGTGTGCAACATTGAGCCAAATATGTGATCGTTCCTAGATTCAAAGCTTTCTCTTGAATCTTTGTAACAAGTCTAACAACTATATTTGATGTCATTGCAGGATCTTGGTATTGGCAAACAAAGGCCCGGCCCTCTAACTTTTTCTAAGTTGGTTATAAATAATATGATGCCTAATAAGAATATATAAAAAGTTGTTACATAGTGGTTAATATTGCTATTTTTAGAGCAAGCGGTTGGAGGATCCAACCTTGACCCAAACTCTTGGCGCCCCCCACTCAAACTCTTTGGCCCAAAATCCGCCACTGGCATGACAAGAATATCATTGGGATGTACTCCGTACAACAATATACAACCAATATTCATATTTTGTTAAACAGCTACAACAAAAACATGCAGCATGATACACTTTATTAGTTCATACTATCTGGGATTTTATGTACAAGAGGCTGATTTTCAACCAGCAAAGCTACATAAAAGACAAGTATACAATGCAATGCTTGCAATGAATGATGATGATATGTCAAAATTTTCAGAATTCCTCTTCTGATTTGTTAGCTTCTGCACCTGTATTAACTTGGCGCTCCAAGTACTCTTCCTCTATTGTCTCCTTGAGAATGAAAAGCCTTTGGATAACCACTGGTTCATTAATTTGTTTAGCTTCCCTAATTTCGGTCTCTTCTTGACTTAGATGGTATGCATCGAGCATGATCTTTATCCACTTATGGAGCTCTTTTGGTGTCCTGCTCCATCCAGCACAGCAGAAAAACAAATATTAAATTTTAAATCCAACTAATAATTTCAGACTCAAGTCAAAATACTACTACATAATCAGACTTACGTGTAAAGACCATTAGGATCCTTGGCTTCACATTCACCTCCAGGGGAGAAAGACGTGGCCAAAGCTGAAAATCTCTCTTCAGGGTCTGTTATGTTAAGCAAGTGTTTGAGTAGTGTTATTTCTTTTGGTGTTATGCTTCTCATACTGCTTTTTGTTGTTTTGTAAATGCGATACATAATCTCTTTGACCTGTAGATAAAAATTTTGCACAAATCAACTACTTCATTCTTCAAATTTCAATACCATACCACTCGTTGGTGCAAGGGCAAGCAGGAAAATACCTCATTCTTCATGGTTGTGGACTCTTTTGCTTTAGCCCATGCACTGTTTATCAATAATATCAATGAAGAGTCGAGTTGCTTTCCCTTGGCAAAACTTTTTATCTTCTCACAGGCAATATCAATTGATGGGGAGTTCAGGATGTCATCAAATTTAGCTTGCGCAGTATCAAATGTATCCACAATTTCTAATGTGTTATCATAAGCAGAAACTGCAGTCAAACACCTGGCAGCAAGCCTAGCAACAGCTGCTCAACAAGTATGAAAAACAAGTGTAAGACAGCAAACTCTTGTACCTGTTATAAATAAATTATACTAGTCATACTGTCAGCTTGTCTATCTTCAACAAATATTCTGATCAAGTTATTGATAGAAACCCTGAAGAACTCAGTTACTAAACATTCCAGTTAGCCGAACAGCATACTTGGCCAGGAGCACAGAGCCCTAACAAATGATGCAAACACTAGGTACACAGAAGAACTGTTACTTGGATTCAGGACTCGGTGGGCATAGGTACGTGTAATGTTTCTGAATGTCATACTTGGCTATAAAACTCCTTGCTTTTAGTCCAAAATGAGGTGTAAGCTCTGTCAAATATCTATATCCACATTGGAGTGTTGAGGATCTGGCAAGACTTGAGGTTGACTAAAGAGTCTGAGTAACATATACACATTGCATTGCAGGTAGCTGATTAATGAGAGGATATGAGTTGGGGTCTGCAAAGAGCCATCACTTGTATTTTGTCACTCCAAAGACAGGACTATTCACCAATTGTTCTCCAGCAGTAACTACTACAGTGTATATAGAATTATAGATACTATAAAAAGGGGGTATTAAGATGGCTGGAGCACCAAAACTTCCAGATATATACATCTCATAGAAAAATCAAGCAAACAGAAAATAGCTGTTTAAAGTGGTTTGCTTGTTTTGGCAGGGTTCACACACAAGAACCTTCAAAGGAGTCAATTTCGCGATTTAACTGATCCTGAAAACAGCAGAGCATGTAATCTTTTCAATTTTTGTAAAATGGGCTAGAATTTCGAGGGGGGTCTATACTTCTATGTTCAATCCCAAAACCAATTCGCAATGATTCAAAGGACAAATATGGGATCTAGTTTCCTCTCTTCTCTAGTGTGAGGCAATCTACATGTGTACTGGCACATATAGGCGGTCTCATTTCAATATAGTGGGAAACAATAGTAACATTTGTCAAAGATTTCTATACAACAATATAACCAGATTATCACAAGTCAAAGTATAAATGACATACTCTCTAGTCTCTTCTGATATGACTAAGCTCCATTAATGCCACATCTACCACTTATATGATTATATCCAAGGTCCAAAAGAAAAGCTTCAAAGAAGGAAATATCATGTTTAAGAATTTAAATCATAAAATTAAAATATCAAGTAATTGGGGTCATAAGCATTTAATTTCTATTAGCCAAGTCTCATCATCTCTACAGAAAAACCAATCTGGCAACCGGGAACCAAGCATCCACAATGCAATCAAAAGTATGAAACCAACACATTTCACCCCCAAGCACATATTGACTGCTATTAAAAATGAATTATCGTTTTATTACCATCACGGTCATCCAAACTGTCATAAGTCTGTTGAAGAAATGTGAGGTGGCGAAAGAACTCCCCATTGAAGTCTCTACGCCGCTTAGCAACAATTGCATTAATATCCGTAGGATTATCTTCTATCTCCTTCAAAAGATCGGTATACCTTTCGATTTCATCATCAATCTGCAATGCTCATTCTCGATAAGATTAAAATCTATAAAAAAAATTCTATGCAAAGATTCAGCTAATATCAACATCAAGTCATTTATATGTCCTACTCATTTGGTTTACATGTAATGGGATTTTATTCATCCAAATAAGCTAAGCAACTTTTGTATTTATAAAATCCAAGATTACAACGGTTGTCTATTGCTATACTACCACAAGAACTTCAATTTCATTCCCCTCTTTTCCATGTCTGAGTTTAGGCCACGGGTTCAAACGTTCAACCTCATTAGAATTCACTACTTAAAACTACTTAATTAACAATTTAACACTCTAATTATATACTATAAGTCACTTAATATATCAATAAGCTAGTCTGTATCACAGTTCAAAATACCAATGTAGTACTATTCATTTGTCTTAAGTACCAATACAATAACCAATAACCCGTGCATAACCTTTAAAGACACTTATATACTCAAGGGAGTATTTGTAAACAGATAGAATAACAACCCGAATCAACTGAAAAAGAAATAAAACGTGGTTACCTTCTTAACTTTTCTACCCAAAGAGCTGAGTTTCCTCTTTAAAACAGGATCAGTCTCCATATCAGCTCGGGTTCGACATCGGCTATAGAATCTATCCCTGTATTTCTTCCATTCTTCCCTAAAAGACAAGTATTTCTTCCAATCTTTAGACCTGGGTTTCTCATTTATAAACAAATCAATCATTTTATCACAAAATTGGGTCATTGTTAAACCCTCAACAACATCAACATCTGCTTCATCTTCCACCACTTGCGCACCACCTAATTCAGCAACAAAAACATTAAAAAAAAAAAATCGCCCTATAAAAATTAATTAAGTTTAAAAAGTACCCAAGTGATGAATTTTGCTTACTAGTCTTGGAATCTGAGAGGGTAGATTTGAAGCTGAGTGAGGGTTTTAGAGTGTGGAAGTTTGAAATTGAAGAGAAAGAATGAAGTTTGGAGGGTGAAAAAGGAAAAATTCTGGTGTGAATTGGAAATTGTAATCTGAGTATGGTGCAACTCATTCTTTCGAGCTCCTCTTCAAGGGGTTTTTTGGGGGCTTTTACAGGTTTAGATACTCTTCTCTTCGCCCAGGTTCAGAAATTAGACAATCTGAAGTTTTCCTTAAACCCCCTTTCCACAGATAAAGAGAACATGCATTACTTCCTCCTTTCTTAGTTGCATCACTTTTGTAACTGTGGGGGTAATATTGGAGTAACGAGAGATAGAGAAACAAAATAAAAAAAGGTCCATGTGATAGAAGGGAAATAGAGAAAACTGTGAATCGCTAAACCATGCTTCCCTTCTATCAGGTAACACTCCCTTTTTAACATGTATGTACGAACTTGCCCTCATTATAAAATAATTCAAAATATTTTTAAAAATTTTGTAATTTCTCTTCATGGCTATCGAACGATGGACGACAACAACCTTTGCAACACCGGAGCATTCGTCGGAGCATATGGTACGTCATCTGATGTTGTGTATTATTTTTTTAATTTTTTTTAAGAAACACCTAGAAATTTTGGAACTCCAAAGGGGAATAGCCTGGAATTTCCGGATCCCCTTAGAAGATCCGAAAATTCAAGGCGTTTTCCCCTTAGAGTTCCAAAATTTCCAGGCGACACTGAATCATTCATCGAAGCATATGGTACGTCATCTGAAGTTGCGTATTTTTTTTTAAAAAAAAGTTAAAGAAACGCCTGAAAATTTTGGAACTCCAAGGGGGAAACGCCTGCAATTTCGGATCTTTTCCAAGATCCGAAATTGCAGGCGTTTCCCCCTTGGAGTTCCAAAATTTCCAGGCGTTTTGCTTGTTTTCCTTTTTTTCGTGAATTTATGTTATCCTGTTTTTTTTTTTTTTTTTTTTTTGGTATAGGAATAAGAGTCAGAAGACTGTGGTGACGGCGTGAATTGTAGTGTAAATTTTGCAATGAACACGATATTTCCTACATTTGATGATGTTGTTCAATGGGAGGATGATATTTCCAAACCACTTGGATTTATTTTGGTGAAATCATCTTACAACAAAACCCGTGATGGTCGATCGTATCGATATTGAAATGTGATTGCGGTCGGAAGAGCAAATCGAGTGATTTGGTGAACGTGATATGAAAGGACACAAAAATTAAACCAAATCCAAAGTTAAAAAAAAAATTGAAAAACGATACATGGTTGTCGCCGATGTCGATGCCGGAGCCGTTGCCGCTACCGCGCGGCACCATTGGTGCCCTTCCCTTTCCCTTTTCAACCGATCATATTACCTCGTCTTGGAGATTGTTAGTGTAGATCTAGTGGTGTGTGAATGTGTTCTAGTTTTCTTTTTAAAAAAAATTAGATTTTATTGATTATAGAAGAGAATAGTGTGTGAATGTTATGTTTTTATCAGAAAAGTGATGAAAGTGGTGTAAAAAGTGAAAGATGAAAGGAGCTTGATATATTTTATAAGAAGGGTAGATAAGTTCTTTCAAAATAATTTGGGGCGTTACCTGGTAAAAGGGGAGCGATGTATAGTACGACCCAATGTATTAATTACTCCGGTAAAAAGGAAAAGGGAAATTCTACACTATAATCCTCTAGTATTGACTTTTCCAAGTTGTGTCCCCTCCCTTTGAAAGTTACACATTGTAACCTTCAACTACAATTATGTATCAATAGACCTTGTCGTTATCCCACCGTTGACGGTCACCGTTAGTGAGGCCCGCTTTGCACTTTTTGATATTTTTTCTCGATTTGCGTGATGAAAAAATGTTCAGTTAAAGGTTTTAGGGGTCGTTTAACTTTAAGGGTCAAAATTGAGCTCGAATTTAGCAAAAAATAACGTAAAGTTCCGTTTTGTGAATTCTAATTTAACTGTGGAAATCCGAATTCACAAAATGGGACTTTTACGTTTTTTTTGCCAAATCCAAGCTCAATTTGGACCCTCAAGAATCAAAATGACCCCTAAAACCTCTAACAGAACATTTTTTCAGCACACAAATCGAGAAAAAAATATTAATTCGGTTCAAGTGACCACGGGTCGGTTTCGGTTCGGTTAGGTTTCGGTTTATTTTTGTGCATTTTTATTCGGTTCGTCTTGTAAACGGTTCGATGCAAATGGGTTGCGGTTTGTAACGGGTTCAATGTAAACTGTTTTTTGATTCAAACAGTTTTGCGTTAGAAATGGTTCGGTTCTTTTCGGTTCGGTTGGATTTCAGTTCGGTTTAGAACTGGTTTCGATTCGTTAACGGGTTCGATTCTTATACGGTTTAACATTATTTGGATAGGTTCGGTTTCGAGTTTACTAAATTATTGTTTGGGTCGATTTTCGGTTTTAGAAAATCGATTGTTAGTCGGTTTAGTTCTCATTTGGGTCGGTCGATTTCAGGCAGTTTAACGGTTTCGATTTGAAATTTAACAATGTTATCTCCCAATGTAATATATACTTTCAAAACTTTCTTTTCTTCTATAGTTGTTCAATGATTCCTCAAAAAAAGGAAAAAAAAAAGTCTAATGAAGTAATGATGCATGAACATAGTCTAAATCAGTTATGCGTAAAATAAATTAACATTGAACTAACTACTAACTTAACCGACACTCTAGTACTCCCTCCGTGCTTAAATAAATGAAATGTTTTCCTTTTCCGACCATGTTTAAATAAATGAAACGTTTGTTTTTTTTTTTTAGTAACTTCTCTCTATTTTTTTAATAATATTCTCTTAATTTTCTAATAACATTCTACTAACTAATTGTCCCCACAAAACCCATTACTCTCTTCTCTCTCCTTAACTTATACCCTACACTTAAAATATATATACTTTTTTCCTCTCTCCTCTCTCATCCTTCCACCCTCCTAAACCCTAGCCTCCATTGTCGTTTTTTGAAGGGGGTTAACCGATGGAAAGCCCCAATCCTTGTTTCTCTAAAAGTTTTTTTTAGGTTTATAATAATGCTTCCTCTTTTAGGGAGGAAATTTTCTCCCTCGAAAGAAAGGGTTTCCGATCTCCTTTGGAAGAAAAGGGTTTTTCGACCTCCTTCAAAAGACAAAGTTTGTCTCCTCTTTTTGGGGGAGAATTTTCTTAGGTTTGAATCCATGATATTAGATCTAATGGATTATTGTGAAATTATTTCGTTGGTGAAAAATTATGCGAGATCACAAGGGTTATCAAGCTTTGGAATACAGTCGGATGAATCAGAAGGAAAATATCCTCACGGCTACAAAGGATCGTTAGATTGTCTCTCCAACAAGGCTGTATTTTCCAGCGATATAAACGGGAGATATTCCATGGTATAAGATCTACTCGACGATCGTAGTCTTTATAAAGGACATTTTTATCTGATTCAATATCTTATGTATTTGTTAAAGTCGAATCTCTTTTGTAGATGTCATATGACTTTTATTAATGAATTTTTATTACTATTCAAAAAAAAAAAAAAGTTATACCCTACTACCTATTATTTTAGTAAATTCAACTGACCATCCTAAAAGTCCATGAAAGTCAAAACGTTTAATTTATTTAAACACGTAGGGAGTAATAATGTACTCCATAGTAAACATGTGTGCATAATTAGATTTCATTTAAAATTCCTTTTAACGTGATTTAATCTTCCCTTTATACTTTATATGTTTAGATTAAGATGGCAACATTAATTCTACTGAGGCTACCAATTTATAAAAGTAAGCGGTTTGTAAACGGTTTGGTTTATAAGCGGTTCGGTTTATAAACGGCTCGATTTGTAAACGGTTCAGTGCAAACGGGCTGCGGTTTGTTAATGGTTCGGTGTAAACAGTTTTTAACCCGGTTCAAACGGTTTTGGGTTTAAAATGGTTCGGGTTAACAATGGTTTGGTTTCAACATTGTTCAGATCGGTTCGGTTTCGAGTTTCCTAAAATACGGTTCTGGCCGAGTCGGTTTTCGGTTTCAAAAAAATCGATTTTTAATTGGTTCGGTTTTCATTTGGGTCAGTCGATTTTGGGTAGTTAAACGATTTCGGTTTGAAATTTGACAGTACTACTTCTAGGGCATCATCCTCAAGGTGTGAAAATTACAATTTTAATTTCATCCAAAGCTTGTAAGGATATCTAGCACATACAACTTCTCCATTACTTGTCTCCTCCATTACTTCTCCTACCTTATCCCACTAGTAGAAAAAACCAAATTGGAAGCCAATAATTGGAAGCGGTTTATCAAATCCGCTTCCAATTCCTTACAAATACCCGCCCAAATTTTTTTTTTTTTTAAAAAAAGGAAGAATTGGAAGCGGTTTAGGTTGAACCGCTTCCAAAAACCAATTTGAAGCGGTTTAGGCTGAACCGCTTCCCTTTTTCAAAAAAAAAAAACCCGGATTTACCTCCATTTTTCCCCTCCATTTCAACGTATTCCTTGCTCTGAATTCCCCTCCATTTCTTCGCTTCCACCATTGCTTCCCTTCAACTTCCACTCTCACACACCTACACTCCACCATAACCACCATATATAACCACCGTCACTTAACCCTACCACAACAACTAGCAACAACCTGCCAAAAGCCGTTGCACCCACCACCATTGGCGTTGTTGGACTCCACACCCTGCACTGTCGCCGCCTCCACCCGCCGCGACAACCACCACCACAGCAAGCATTTCCTTTGTGGACGCTTTGCTGCTGCTGTTGCTTATTGACGCTGCTAGCCACCACACTCGGCCTCACCACGACCCTTGCTGCTGCGACGTTGCTTGAGGACCCTGCTTCCCTTCTCACCTTCACACCGAAACACCACCACCACAGGCATTCCTTCTCTTTGTCCCTCACAAATTAGGGTGAGTTCATGCTTACTTAATCTTACTACCTTATTTACATGTTCTTAACAATTTCCCAAATTTTAGGGTTTCAATATTAGTTAATCATATTTTATGTTAATTATTTTAATAATTATTCGTATACAAAATGTTAATTCTTACCTTAATTGTATAATGTTATAAGTTGTTTGAATTTGAGTAGCTAAAAAGTGATGAATTATTGAATATGGATTGTAAGTGAGCTTAGTTTGCTTGTAGGTAGTCCAATTAGCATTGTATGAATGAATTAACTTGTGTTTTGTTAAATGTCTTGAAATTTTTGAATGCTTGCATCATCATTTGCTTAGATACCCGTTCAAGCCTTTCTCATTAGGAGGAGGACTTGAATAGTCCCCGGTTGGGACTGTTCTTGGACGTTTAATCTCACTTAGGTAGTGAATGTATGTCTCTTTTTCGATTTTAAGGAATATCTCGGCCTAGCATTTCGTCTCCATGTTCTCTGGGTGCATATG